ATGCTTCTCCAGAACTCTGTTAAGTCAAACTCTGCCAACCATCTCCATCTTCCCACAGGATTCCCGTGACTGCTGTAGGAGCTTTCCCTGTGGAGATGGCAAAAAAAACCCCACAGGGCATGAGCCTAAAATACAGAGGGTTTGTTTTCTTCACTTGGAAATGGAACAGCATTGCCCTACCTCGAGGGGTCAGAGGATCCCTCTGGGTCATAAAATTGTGGTTGCTTCATACCAGAAAAAGTTGCAAAAGTGAAAAGTATGATAGTCTCTACTTGTCTTTTTTTTAATAGGTTATGAAAATCAGCCTCTTCAAAGCTGCTGAAGATCTTTCAACCCATTGCCATCACCTATTCTAGTACTGCTCTTTTAAAGCACATAATGTTAGGAAAATCTTTTCATGATTAAAGAACAAAAAATAGGGTTTTGTTACTGCCTTTCTAGTATCTTGAATGAAGAGAGGAAGCCCCATGGTCTGGCAAGTGAGACTATGTGGGTTTCCTCTGAGTTTCTGCTGTTTCAGGGGGCACCAAAGCCTCCTCATCTGGCCACGTGCTCCTGTGAGTCTGGGGGTCCTCTCCTGCCAGCCAGAAATATTCCTGTAACTCTCCTAAGTCTGCCCTTGCCACAGCATCCAACAGGAAACCTAACCCACTGCGCAGGTGAGCAGCACTTTGTCCAGCTCTGCTCACAGAACCAGGGCTAAAATCCCAGCTGACAGCAGCAGGAGGAATCGAGCTCGGTCTGCAGAGGGATGTGAGAGAATCCAGTCCCTCGGGAGGATGCGATGACCCTCACGGGAACTCCACAGCTGCACTTTTCCAGCCAGCCTGGCCTGGTTCTGCAGGTGAAACCGCAGCTCCCAACCGTGTGCTGGTCTCGGCCTGTGCCCTTAGAGCCAAACCCTCCTGGGCAGGGTCAGCACCAGCCGCGGGGGGATGGATTCTCCTTTACAGACACCTCCGGCTATTCCCTGCGCTGTATCCCCCACCGCCGGGCATGGCACGGGGTGCGGGCGGGATGGAGCAGGGCACGGGGATTGGGGCACTGTGGAGAGGGATG